ATTTTTAGGAAAAAATAAAATTTTTTCGAGATTAAATATAATATACTGTGGTAAAACAAAAAAAAAAGGGGAAAATTTTTCACTTGAAGTAGGTACTTATGTGTATAGCGAGGAACAAGTTTAAGTTATCTACTTTACAAAAGAAAAACTATTCTTAGCCTTTTGATTTACACAATGATGTTCTTACATTTGTTATACTTCTTTTCTCCTGCACAAGTAGTATATCTCAAGATGTGGTCATACATTTGGTAACCCTCGTTTCTTTTTTTTAAGTATATTATGGAGGACCCTATTTTTTTTTTCTTCAACTAAAAAACAGGTGGTCAGAAAAGAAATGGTAGACGAGGGAATAAAAATGGAGGGTCTACAAATGAGAGCTCCTTGTCATCGATCTAAATATACTTTCGTCTACCTGAAAAGAAACTTAAAAACTCGAAAGTACTTCCGGATCGCTATGTCGTTAAGATTCAACTTTAAAAAAAAAAACATTTTTTGCCAGAGAAAAAAAAATACGAAAATCAGATTAATGCCAAAAGGGAGCATCGATAACGGATTTAAAAGTTTTCCATGCGAAGGGGGATTTATAAACTTTTTTTTTCTCAATATCCTCTTAAGGGTATTGAGAAAAAAAAAAAATTTCCCTAACTAAAAAAACATCTTTTTAATAATTTTGTATAACTTATAATTTAAAAATATTTTCAATTATTTTTTTTTTTAATGCATTATTTATATTATATAGAGAAAATGCATTGCATATTTATTACATATACACGAGGTAATAAATTTTGTGAAATTTTCCTCTCAACAGTATAAGAGGTTTACATAAATTTCACATAATTTTGAATGTCATATCTATACTCGAGAATTCAAAATATAAAATTATTTCTTGTTGTTATACAAATCATTCATAAATATTTATAAAACAATTCCTATTTTGAAAGAAAAGTATAAAAGAAAAATCCTCAACGTTTTAAATCAGTAAACAATATGTTAAAAAATATTGAAAAAAAATTGTTGTATTAAAATATTTTCAAATATATTATATTGTTTAATATAATCTATAAAATTATTATTTTTTGAAAATATTCCGAATATGAAATTTTGACATATATTGAGCGAATTTCCGGAAAATTTCAAGCCTTATTGAATATTAAATAATTATAAATTCAGCCACGTACCCAGTTAGACTTCAAATATGTTTGAATGATGTAATAGCCTAGTAAATTATTCCTCCTATTCTCATGAATATTGCAGGGACTTGAATAGAAGATGCAGGTTTTACACAATGTGTGTGTAATAAAAGCTCATGGATCCTGAAAAAAAAATTAATTTTTAAAAATTTCAATATTCATATAAATGTTAATAATAAAAAAAATTATAATTATCCCCTAAATTAAAAATTTAATTATATTAAAAATTAAACAAAAACTAACCTTTGCATAACAATTAAAAAATATAGAAACGATAAAAATTGATTAAAGTTTAACAAATAAAATAAAATACCTAAATAAAAAAATAATTAATAACAAAAACAAATAAAATATATATAATAAATAAAAATATGAATACAAAAAGCTATTATAAAAATATGATCGTTAAATGTAAAAAAAAAATGATACTCGTCATACTGATTGAAAATTAAATAGAAAATTAAAGGTATTTTGCGTTCCTTTGAAGGAAAGAACAAAAAATCGCTAAAACGCACAATTTTTTATTTTTCATTCTTTATGTGAAAAAATCAAGATAATAATAATAATAATCTTGATGTAATGAGTACTTAGGTGTCACACAATTGTAATCGCGGGCGCCACACGAATTGATCCGACATTTGCAAGGCCTCGTCAAATAATAATTTTAATAAACCATTGTCACGCAACTTATATATGCACATACTCTCTCTCTTTCTCTGTTTTTTTTTTTTTTTTTTTTGAGCGTGGAAAATATTGAGCAAGGCTTTCAACGATTTTCCTACGAGATTATACCACTTATACCTATCATGCAAACCCACTCATTTTATATTTTAAATTAAGAATTAACTCGCACAGGTCATTTAAAAAAAAAATATTATTTATATGGAAATTTAGTTTATAATTTAAAATATTTCTTTTTCAATTCCAAATTTATTACAAAATTGTAATTACAATTATTTGTTGTAAAAATATATTTTAAAAAAAGTATTTAAAAAATGTGAAAGATTTGATAAATTAATTTTCAATTTTCTAAAATCTCAATTCGATCTTTAAAATTTTAAAAAAAAATCGAGAAATAAAATAACAGATTTTTGTTCAAGTTCTGCGTGTTAATATATAGAATCGCTTAACTTAGAAAATGCTCTATTGATGTAATTGTACATATTAAATTAATAAAAAATAAAAAAAAAATCACGAATTATAGACAAATGGTTGTATATTGGCTAAAGATTATATATAAATATCGAATGGAATCGAAATGTCTCGATTTTTAATATATGCGAACTGTGTGAATATATTTGCTTAGTTAAACTAAAAAAAAAAAAAAAATCTTTTTGAGAAAGAACCAAAACTCTATAAAACGACTCGCATCTGCAGATGAATGACAATTGAGCCCCTGTCTCTTCTGCAAGCGCATCTGATTCGTTTTCGAGAATATATAAATATAATATAGATATTTAAAAAAAATAGATATATATATAAATAAGTTCTCGATTCTCCTGTGGAGATTTCATTTCAAATACTAAATGAATTTTCTGAAAAGAATATATTACATGTTCCAATAAAGACGTTACTATGTAAAAAAAAACAATCGCATTCTTTTTTTTTCCACACGTTCCAAAATTTTCCCCAAAAAATTTAATAAAAAACCATTTAATTTTTTTTTAGTTAAAAATGAAAAAAAATTGTTCTTTATTAGAAATTAATACAATTTTCTAACATATGGTATTTAATGAAAATAAATTATTATTATTATTATAATTTTCTAACACAATGAAAAAAAATAATTAAAATTTATTGCCCTGTTTATTTTTACATTTTTCAAGCATTGAAAATTGCAATCTCGATAAAATGTCAAGTGTAAGGAAGACTACTGTGTAAAGAAGTATGTTTTACTTTGATTAAAAATCACTATCGTAAACCTTTGAAGTTCTTTGACTTTGATCAATATACTATATATATATATATGTATATATATAAATATAATGAATGTTCCTCAAGCAGTTCTCATTTTAATAACACGCGCTTCTTAATTTTTTTTTTTTCGCAATGAAAAGTTGTGTCCGGGGAAATCTTTCCTAGAAACTATTCCTTGATATAATTTCCAAGAAACTTCTAATTAAATGTCTTAATTAATTTTTTTTCTTCTTAATTATTGCAGATATAATTGAGGGCCTGTGTCAAGGTGAGTGTTCTTCATTTTTTTTTTCATTTTTATATTACATTGCTCAACGTGTTATGTAATATTAGAGAAAAATTAATTGATTTTTTATTCTTATAATTTTTTTTTACTCTTACTTTTTTTGTAATTTTTTTAATTACTAATTTTTTCAATTAAATTTAATTATTTACTTGTAACTCAAAATAGATTAAGAAAAATTAATTATAATGCAACGGAAAAAATTGACAACATTTTCAATTCTAAAAAAAATCCCAGAGAAATGTTTATTATTTGAACCAAATATATTATAATTGAGTAAAATAAACATATATTTGTCTCAGAGCTTACCAGCTCATTTCTTTGGCGTAAATAAAAATTTTATTTGTCATAAATAAAATTGTTATTAAATAAAAATTTATTTAAATGAAATAAAAATTTATTTGGATAAAATAAATATTTATTTGGCTTCAGTTTATTATAAATATTTTACATGTGAAAAATGGATTTTTTTTTCTCTATGAAAAAGGGTCAATTTTCATAAAAGATACACAACATAAATTTACCGTAAAGAGATCATATATATATAGTTACTGTAACCAGTGTCGCGGAGTAAATGAAAAAAAAGGCGTAGTAAAGAGTCAAATGAGAAGATGAAAAAAAAAAATTTGCAGTTGATAGAAGAGAGAAAGAGCGATGAGGCAGAAAAAAAGGACAAAAGTAGATAAAAAAAGAGAGAGAGAGATAGTGAGAATAAAAGAGTATGGAATGAAGAAGGAAGAAAGAGGAAGAGATTCGACGTAAATTAGGAGGTGGTGAAGATAATGGTTTCCGTTTCGTTTGGTGCACCAGCCGCACTATATACATACTTGTAGATTTTGGATTGTTGTAGTTATCTTTCACAGAAAGAGAACTTATCCGAGTCAGATGAAAAAAAAAAAAAAAAATACACGCGAAGATTGTAAACCGAGACAGAGAATGAATGAAGAAACGTAAAAAAAAGGACAAAGATAAAAAACTTTGAAACGCGAGGTGTTTACGACTCCTCAGGCTATGTAATATTGACAAACTATCCCCTCCAAAAAAAAAGTAAGTCAAAGACCTTAAAGACTTTGATTCTTTGAAATAGAGCTTTTCATTCAATAAAAAAAATTTTATTTCCTTTTTTCTAATTTATAAATTATAAAATTAGGGAAAAAGTATAATAAATAAAATCAGAAATAATTCATTTCAAAGATAATTAAATTTAAATTACAATTTTGATTTATACCCCTAATAATAGTACAAGACTTAAATTGCAAGTTCGGAAGTCAAGTGTTTCTAAATGAGCACGTTTCATGTGTAAAAATTCAAATGAGAGAAATATAAAAATAAAAATTTTTCTAAAATTTGTCATAAGATAAAAATTGTTGATTTCGAAATATTAATTTTTTATTGAAATATTTTTTTTAATATACCTATTTTAAATTTGTCTGAAAAAATTGATTTAATCATATATAATTTAAAAATTTCCATTTGCAAAGTATTTTTTTTTTTTTATTGCCCTAAAACGTCACTGGTTTTGAATATCAATTGCTTCACGCATATGAGTCGATAACAAGGGCAAAGTGTAATATGCAAATTAGTCTCGGAGTAATAAAGATTTATTATATGATGTAACTTATATCTGCACCACTTTCTCAATATAAAGTTCTATCTCGTGTCATACATTCAACATATATATTTCAGGGACAATATTCGCAAGCGAATTGAAAAATTCAGTCATTCTAATAACATAATACAGAATGGATCTAATTTTTATACTCTTTATTATTGTTATTATTTTAATAACTCTCTATTATTATCTCACGTGGAATTATGATTATTGGAAAAAACAAAAAATTCCCTATGCTAAAAATATAATACCCGGTTTTGGTAATATGTTATCGATAATTTTATCACGACAAAGTTTTGCCGATTTATGTGAAAAATTCTATAAAAAAAATAATAAATACAGTATGTTTGGATTATATCAAATGAGAGTGCCAACATTATTAATACGTGATCCTGAATTAGTGAAAAATGTTTTAGTGACAAATTTTAATAATTTTGCAAATAATCAATTTCAAGTTGGCACATCAAAATTAGATAGAATATTTGCAATAAATCCATTTTTTTCAAAATTTGACACATGGAAGGAAAATCGTGCACCATTATCAAATGCATTTTCAAGTAAAAAATTAAAATTAATGTTACCCTTCATTTTGAATGTTGGTAAAAATCTCGAAGATTATTTGAAGCGTAAATGTAGTGATGAGGGAAAATTTGAAATTGAGTTAAAACAATTTTCCAATATGTTCACCGGTGAAATTGCAGCCGCTGGAATTGGATTTCAAGGTCATAATTTTCAAGATGAAACTGAATCAACAAAAGGCCGCTGGGCTTATAAGAGGTTTATCGAAAGATTTTTCTCTGAACCATTTTTCACCGGTGGTATTCAACAGGTGATTTTTCTCTACTTACCAAGAATGGCAAATTTTTTTCATCTCTCAATGATACCTGAATATGTGAATAAATTTTTTCACGAAACTGTGACTAATATTCTTAAATATCGAAAAAAGGAAAATATAAAAAGTAATGATTTTTTACAAATAATGGTTGACTATTATAGAGCGAATAATTTAAATATTGAAAATAATGAAGCACTAATATCGCACATGGTAACGTTTGCTATTGAAATTTATGAATCGTCAGCAATAACATTGAGTTTTTTGCTATTTCAATTAGCGGCACATTCTGAGATTCAAGAAAAAGTAAGAGAAGAAGTGATGAGAATTTATGAGAAAAATGAAAAATTGGATTATGATGATTTTAAAGAAATGACGTATCTTGAACAGACGTTAAATGAATCAATGAGATTGAATCATGTTATTGGAACAATGTTAAAAGTTTGTACAAAAGAAACTGAATTAATTGGTTCGGATGGTCTCACTTGTAAAATGAAACCAGGCAATGTGGCAGTAATATCAACCTATGGTTTGCAAATGGATCCAAATCATTGGCCTAATCCAGAGAAATTTGATCCCGATCGTTTTAGTGATGAACAAAAGGCAGGACGGAATAAATTTACATTCATTCCATTTGGTGAAGGACCAAGAATTTGTGTTGGAATGAGAATGGCAACAATAATCATTAAATTGGTGGTTGCAACTATTTTGAAAAATTATCAAATTCAAGTTTCGCCAAAAACACCTTTGCCATTGAAAAAAAATGAAGCAAGTTTTATGACTGCATTTGAAAAAGGACTGTGGGTTATCTTCAAACCATTGTGAAAAATAATTTTCTCTTTTAGGTAAATAATTTCATATTAATAGCAAATTTTTTTTTTTAGTTAGAAATTATGAAATTTTTTAAAATAAATAGAATATTTAATTGAAATTCGCGATATAATTGTCATTATAAAATTGGTATTATTGAAAATGTCAGTAAATGAAAGAATTTCTATTTGGCGCATCATTAACGGAATTTAATATATTTCGATATTTGGAATTAATATTATCGGCATTCAACAGGAACTTGATTGGGTCGTATATTCAATTGAACGGAAATTCTATTTCAAGCAAAAGAGACGTAAATCCTTTCGCGGCGCAAAATAATAATCATTAATTCAAATCTTCTACTAAAAAAAAACCGATATTCAATAGAAAGTAAATAAAAAAATATATTTTATGCAAATTAACATAAAAATAGAACAATTTTTTTTTTTAAATATAAAATTTTGTACAAATAAATAATTAAATTTTTTTAAATTCTTGAATTTTTTATTTTAGAAAGTTGCTTTGGATTTCGAGGTAAAAATCAACAGAGGAATCAATATAAAAAACCAGGAAAGTAAAATAAAGGAAAATTTGTTCAGAATCTACAATTTCTATACAAAAATAAAAACAATTTGTTAAAACAATAAACAAAATCAACTACAGCAGAGTAGTTACTTAAAAAAAAAGTGTCAAGTAAATAAAATGATATCTTTTAAGAATCCATATATGCATAAATTTTCAAGATAACTGTAAATTCTTAACTTATCTCAAAAATGTCACTTATATTTAACAACAATTATGTTTTATTACATATTTTTTCGAAATAAAAAGATTTTCCTTAAGCATTTTAATCACAGTTTTTTCATTAACCATCAACAAGAATGGAGCCATTTACATTGCTCATTCTCGTGGCATTTATTTTATTAGCTCTCTATTATTTTTTAACATGGAATTATAATTTTTGGCAAAAACAAGGAATACCATGCGCAAGTGGAATAATTCCCCTAATGGGAAATATGGGTTCAGTTATATTTTTAAAACAAAGTTTCAATAGTCTTTGTGAAAAATATTATAAACAAAATGAAAAAGTTAGTATGTTTGGATTTTATCAATTGACAACGCCAACATTATTAATACGTGATCCAGAATTAATTAAAAATATTTTACAAACAAATTTCATTAATTTTCCTGACAATCAATTTCAAGTGGCATGCGAGAAGAGAGACTCGCTCATTTCAGTGAATCCCTTTTTCTCGAAAATGAATAAACACTGGAGAGATAGTCGAGCACCACTTTCAAATGCATTTTCAAGCAAGAAATTAAAAGCATTGTTTGTGTTGGTTAAAGATGTCGCATCAAGAATGGAGGAATATATTACAAAGAAAATTCATCAACAAAATGGTCAAGCTGAATTGGAATTTAAACAATTATTTAATCTCTATACTGGTGAAATATCAGCGGCTGGTGTTGGTATTAAGGGTAATAATTTTGAAGACGATTCAAAAACAACAAAAAATGAATGGAGTTATAAAAAAATGCTTGAGGAAGTTTTTAATACACCATTTTTTGCCGGTGGATTACTTCAAGTGATATTTGTCAATATACCATGTTTAGGGAGAATTTTTAATATTCAAATGACACCAAAAGGTGTTGATTCATTTTTTCGTAGTACAGTGAAAAAAATTCTCGCTCAACGAGAAATTGAAAAGAAAAATTATAATGATTTTTTACAAATAATTAATGATTATGTGCAAGCAAATCCCTCGTCAATTGATGAGGAAACATTAGTAGCATCACATATGTTATCATATACGGCTGAAATTTATGAAACATCAGCAATTACATTAAGTTTCACTGCATTTCAATTGGCAGTTTATCCTGAAATACAAGAGAAAGTACGTCAAGAATTGAGAGTTATATTAAAAAAATATAATGGTAAATTAGAATACGATGGATTAAAAGAAATGACATATTTCGATCAAGTTTTAAATGAATCAATGCGTCAAAATCATGTTGTTGGAACAATGGTGAAAATTTGTAGCAAAGAAACTGAATTAATTGGTTCAGATGGACTTTCTTGTCGTATTAAACCGGGTAATTTGGCAGTGATATCAACCTATGGTTTACAAATGGATCCAAATTATTGGCCAAATCCAGAGAAATTTGATCCCGATCGTTTTAGTGATGGACAAAAAGCAGGAAGGCATAAATTTACATTTCTTCCTTTTGGCGAAGGACCGAGAATTTGTGTTGGAATGAGAATGGCTATTATGATGATTAAAGTGGCAATAGCGACAATTTTAAAAGATTATTCATTACAAGTTTCACCAAAAACACCATTGCCTTTGGTGAGAAATGAGGCACGATTTTTGAGCGCCTATCATAAAGGTTTGTGGGTTATTTTAAAACCCGTAAAATCGTAATCAAAAAAAAGAAAAATTTTAATAATTTTCCTCCAATTTGCTATTTATTTTTAAATTTAACTATTTATTAAAATTTAATTTACATTGACAAAAAAAAATGTATTGTATTAATTTTTAGAAAATAATTTTTATTGTTAAAAAAAACCCCCGAATTTTTTGTAGTCGATATTCATATTTATTGTGAAAATAAATATATTTCTAAAAAAAAATAATTTGAATTTTCTGCCTTTCTGTATGCGTTAAATAAAATTTTTGCTTTTTACCAGAAACTTTATCGTATTTCTAATGAGAAAAATAATCTGAACTTTTCTCTTATCAATTATTTTTTATGAAGAGCACTTTGTTTTATTCATAAGTTTCATAAACATTTTACATAATCTTTAAAACCAAAAAAATTCATAATCCAATCAAATTATTGGTTTTTAATTAGTTTTGATTTTGGAAGATATTTTTTTAAATATTTGAGAAAAAATTTATTCAAGTTTGAGTATTATCAAATTTTGTAAAAAAATCAACAGAGTCTAAAACCAATGATACTTTTATAAAAATTTGTTTTTTTTTTTGCAGTTTATGATAAGGAGAACTAATCTTAAAATGTGCTTTATCATTCTTGACTATACAGAAAATGATAAAACCGATACAGATAGAATTTGCAACTTTAGTCTTTAAATTTATTCCATCGAAGATGGATTTAATTTTTCTTCTCGTTCTCATAATTATTATTTTAATATCCCTTTATTATTATCTAACATGGAATTATGATTATTGGCAGAAACAAGGTATACCATACGATGAAAATATTATTCCCGGTTTTGGTAATATATCGTCAATAATTTTTCTCCGTCAAAATTTAGCGAGTTTATGTGAAAAATATTACAAAAAATATAAAAACATCAGTATGTTTGGATTTTATCAATTAACAACACCAACATTACTTGTACGTGATCCAGAATTAGTGAAAAATATTTTATTAACAAATTTCACAAATTTTGCCGACAATCAATTAGAATTGGGTTCAAAGAAAAAAGATGAATTACTTCAATATAATCCATTTTTTTCAAAACAAAAAACATGGAAAGATAATAGAGTGGCTATTTCAAATGCATTTTCAAGTAAAAAATTGAAATTAATGTTCACCTTTATACAAGATGTAACGTTAAATTTAGAAAAATATTTAAAACGAATTGTAAAAAAAGAACATGAAATTGAATTAAAAAATTTCTTTAATTTATATACTGGTGAGCTTGCAACTACAGGTATTGGTGTTCAAGGTCACAATTTTCAAGATGATCAATTTTCAAATGACAAATGGCTTACGAAAAATGCACTCGAGGGTATATTTGCAGCACCTGCATTTAATGGTGGATTAATTCAAGTTATTTTCAATCATATGCCAAAATTGGCGAAATTAATGAACATTGGAGTGATAACGAAAAGTGTTGATGATTATTATCGTCATGTAGTTAGAAATATTCTCGCCTATAGAAAACGAGAAAATGTAACAAGTAACGATTTTTTACAAATAATATCCGATTATATAAAAACACATGCGTCACATTCAAACGAAGAAGCAGCAATTGCTTCTTATTCATTATCATTTACGGTTGAAGTTTATGAGACAACAGCAATGACATTAAGTTTTACAGTTTTTCAAATAGCAGCAAATTCACATGTTCAAGAAAAGGCGAGAAATGAAATTGAAATGATTCTCAAAAAACATAATGGTGAATTAAATTATGAAATAGTCAAAGAATTCACTTATTTAGAACAAATTATTAATGAATCAATGAGAATGAATCACGTAATGGGAATATTGATGAAAATTTGTACAAATCAAACAAAATTAATTGGATCAGATGGACTTTCTTGTACAATAAAACCAGGACAAGCGGTTGTGATATCAACTTTTGGATTACAAATGGATGAAAATTATTGGCCAGAACCAGAGAAATTTGATCCCGAACGATTTAATGACGAGCAAAAAGGTGAAAGACATAAATTTGCATTTCTTCCATTTGGCGAAGGACCGAGAATTTGTGTTGGTATGAGAATGGCAATTATTACAATGAAATTGGCAATTATTACAATATTGAGAAATTTCTCATTGGAACTATCGTCAAAATCTCCATTTCCTTTAGTACGCGATGAATCGAAATTTTTAAGTGCTTATGAAAAAGGACTTTGGGTTAACATGAAACCTTTGTCACAGACATTTTAATTTTGATATTAAAATAATATACTACTTTACTTTCGTCTTTGTCATTTTTAAATTTTACCTAAGAAAAAAATATTTCTAATTTATAAAAATGTGAAAATATTTTTCATACACTACGAGGAAAAAAGATTATTTATTTTAATTAAATAGCAAATAAAACATTGTACATTTTATTTACAAATTAAAAATACTTGAACGGGAAAAAATTTGTGGAATTATATTTTCCGTACCCACTTGTTTATCATTTGATTTTATCTCGCGTTTATTATTTTCTATTTTGAAAAATTCAATTGTGTTCTTTTTAATATTTTCATATATATACAATTCAATTTTTAAAATCCAAAAAACAATAATCTGAATAAATAAGTAAAATAAAAATAAAATTATTATTTAATGTGTAATTTGACAAAGATTGGACATTTTTATGAATTGTCTTTATCAGAGAAAATCGCGTGTTTTACTTCGTTTTAAGAGCTGAACAGCTGGGTTAAATGTCGAGAACTGATTTTAATGCATTAACGGACATTAAAAACGTTTTGCGACCAACGCGCGCGACTAATGGCAAGTTCATAAATGCTTCCCCAGTTGGCAATGCTCCATCATTTTTAGCTTTTATATCCCATATGAAGTAGAAGGCATTAAAGACATGAGGATTTTGCTTTCGCTAAGCACGAAACTGATCGGATCATAAATTCCCTTTATATAAACGAATTTCGTCTCGGATCATCGCTTTTCGTTGTCATCAAAAATCGACTCAAAAAAAAGTGCAATATTTTAATAAAATTATAGTTCAATTTTATCTTATTTATAACTTAATTAAGTTTTTTATACTTTTTTTAAAAAAAATTTTTTAATCGAATTTCCGTTACTTTGAAATGATAATATCCTATTTAGAAGGGGGGGTGGGGAGAATTGCATAATTTATGACGTTACATATCGGAGATGTTATTCGACAGCATCAAATGAAATTGCAAACTCATAACAGTGAAATACGACTGGTATATATTTGTAACGGATTTATAATACAACATCCGTACATATTACGTCCTTAGCAAGTAAAGTTCTTGGGTCGAGTGCAATGAAAATCGATCGACTTTTATGCAAGTCAACGACGTTGAGAAAAATATAAAGAGGTGGAGAAAAACAGAAGGGTAATGTAAAAGGGGCGGGTGTATATGTGGTGTTTGATTATTTAGGTCACAGAGAACTAATCTCCACGATAAAGGGGAAGGGGGGTCTATATTCAGATTAATTGTTAATTTAATATATAGAAAATCTACTTTATATTAAAAAAAATTGAAAATTTATTCTTAAAATAAATTAAGATATATTAGTATCAATTATTTAATCATTAATATTAATTATTTATTCTTATTAATAATTTATTTTTTATTATTATTATTAAAAAAATTTTTATTAAAAATAATAAAAATAAAGTAAAAATAAAAAAAATAGTATAAAATAAATTGTCCATACTTTTTAATCAATTTGAAAGAAAATGTGTATATACAAAACAAACACAACTTGATACTCGTCATTAGCCTATATGTCACGTTTCAGAATGTGTGTATATACGATACAGTTCGATCAAACATCATCTTGTATCCGGAGGATGTCATGTAATATCCGAATGACGATGCAGAAATAGCAACCATATTATCGTAACCTCCACTGTATAATTTCTACCAAAATTTCTCTCTATATCCTATATATAATATACATTTCACGAAAAAAAAATATAATTATCGAAATTCAATTTCGAAAATTAATTAATTATTCTAAAAATAATTCTGCATATAATTTATAAATTAATTGATTTCATTAAATTAAGGAAATATATAATTTATAAATTAATAATTAATTTCATTAAATTAAGAAAATAAAACCTCAGATGAAAATGAATAATTTAAAAAAAAAAATCATAAATTCTTCCCCAAGGGAAAAAAGCACTTTCCACATTGAAAAGATATCAGTAATTTTTCATTCCTGATTTCATTGTGTTGGCACTTTTTTTCCTTTCGTATTGTCAAAAGAAAAGAAGTGTGAAAAGAATTTTTTTTTCTCTCTCTCTCTTCATCGTGTTCGGAATAAAATTTAAAATAATATATTTTAGGACAAACCAAGTTATAGAAATTTGTGAGCTAATTATCAGAGACACAGTGTTAATTAGTTTAATTCGTTAGCTTGGGTGATATATTTAAAAGTCATCAATAAATTTTAGATAATTGTCCTCCTCTCTGTTACTGGCTATATTCATTTGAATACTTAACTCTCTTTAACTCATTCCACAAATTCAGAGGACGTTTAACCACTTAAGCTAAACTATTTTACGACTCTCCGAGAAAATTTTGTGAAAATTATTTCGAATACAAATAATATTCAAAAAAAGTAGTAAAATTAATTGTAAAAAAATTATAAAAATTGTAAAATCATAAATAATAACAGAATTCAAAAAATTAAAAACAATAATTAATAAAATCGGACAAGTGCGAGTTACACTCGCACTGAAATCGAGGGTTCCGTACTCGAAGCGAACTTATTTGGTATAAAAACAAATATTTAAAAAATATGTGTTGTATGACAACTAATATAAGTGATACAAAAAGGAACAATTTTGTAAAATTCAAGAAAATTGTTCCTCTTCGTATCATTTATATTAGTTGTCATACAACACATATTTTTTAAACATTTGTTTTTATACCAAATAAGTTCGCTTCGAGTACGGAACCCTCGATTTCAGTGCGAGTGTAACTCGCACTTGTCCGATTTTATTTTTTAAAAAATATTTTACTAAAAAAATATAAGATACATAATTTTATTTCAACTCGCAATATTTTTATTGTATTTACATTTTAAAAATATATTGAATATTAAACTTTATCTTTCTAAGTCAAAAAGAGATAAAACTTAAGATATTGATATAAGGCTAGTAGCTGCTTGTCAAGGAAAAATCGAAAGTTATCTAAAAAATAAAATTTGTTTATTAATTCCAGAAAAATCAACTCCAATCATCCTCGCTATATTTTTTTTGTAATCTACACGTAAAAATACGTCAAAATATATAAATTTGAATCACTGTAGAAAAACTTTTTTCGTTTTTTGCGGAAAAATACATTTTTTTCTGAAATTTATCATTTTTCTTAAAAAATTTGATAAAAATTGATCATCAACTCCAATCGCGCTTACATTTTTTCCCTGTATTTTTCACGCAAAAATTGAGTTTTACAGCAAGTATGAACAGTCTGGATTGAATATTGTGTGCGCTAGGGAGAATAAATCATTTTTTTCGAAATTTTTGATTTTTCCTTGACAACGCTATGTAAATTAATCCGAATCAAGTTCGCTATAATTTTCCTGTAATTTTCACGTAAAAATACGTAAGTGTGTCAAATTTGAGCTCTTTATGTCAAAAGATGTGGCCGCTAGGGGGGGGGGTACATACTCATTTTTAGGTATTTTTCGTAAAAATTCATGGTTTTTCCTTGACAACGCTATGATAATCAACTCCAATCATGCTCGCTATATTTTTTTTGTAATCTACACGTAAAAATACGTTAAAATATATAAATTTAATTTCCTTTAAATAAAATTTTGTTCGTTTTTGGTGGAAAAATACATTTTTTTCCTAAAATTGTCATTTTTTCTTGAAAAACTTGATAAAAAGTTAATCATCAACTCTAATCGTGACCGCTTTTTTTCCCCTGTATTTTTCCCGTAAAAATACATTTGTATACTAAATATGATCTGTCTGGGTTGAATATTGTGTGCGCTAGGGAGAATAAATTATTTTTTTCGAAATTTTTGATTTTTCCTTGACAACGCTATGTAAATTGATCCGAATCAAGTTCGCTATAATTTTCCTGTAATTTTCACGTAAAAATACGTAAGTGTGTCAAATTTGAGCTCTTTATGTCAAAAGATGTGGCCGCTAGGGGGGGGGTACATAGTCATTTTTAGGCATTTTTCGTAAAAATTCATGGTTTTTCCTTGACAACGCTATGTTAATCAATTTCAATCAAGTTCGCTATAATTTTCCTGTAATCTACACGCGAAAATACATATGTGTACTAATTTTCAGCCCTCCAGATAAATTTATGTGGCCGCTAGGGGGGGGGTACACGATTTCAAAAAAACCGATATTAATAGGGTTCCGAACCGAGTACGGAACCCTAATAAAGGTCAATGACTTTTTTAATTACAAAACAGAGGCGATGGAAATAATTTCATGAAATTTGGAAAATAATTTTATAAATACAAAATCGATCTATGTGAAATGTTGTGATCTGGAAAAATGGAACTTTATTAACATTTTGATGAGATTCCCTCAACGACTTTGAAAATAGCGAGGGTGGTGTATAACACGTGTAGAAAATTGTGAAAAAAAAGATTTTTATATTACACAATTATTAATCTATGAAACCAATCATAAAAAAAATGCTAATGAAATTGGAAATATATAAAATTATATAAAAAATAAAAAAAGTAAACATTTTTTAAAAATTTTCAGAAATAGAAACATAAACGCAGTTTTGATTAATCGAAACAAAAACGTATAAGGCAAAGATCATAAAAAGTTGAAAAGGTAGAATTTGAGAAATGTAGATGTGATTAACATAGAAATTTGATCATTAGAAGATAGACTTTTGAGAGTAAAAGACAGAGAGAGAAAGAGAGAAAGAGAGGGGTTTCGGTAATGTTATCGGCAGCCCAAGCATTTTGGTATAAAGTCTATTTGCATTTAAAGCACTCCCAATGGAATTCAAATTGTCAGAAAGGAAAACGAATGTTGTTCGCCTCCCTTGCATGTTCCATTTAATCGAACTCATTCAAAAAAATAAAGGGGACAGAAGGATTGCATCCCTTTCCCTTTTTTAAAATTAAATTATTCGCGACATTATAACTCTTCGCTCTGGACCAATTTTTTTTTTTTTTGAAAAGAAAAATATTTTTCTTAAAAAATAAAAATAGTCTAAATTTTTTTAAAAAAAATTAATCTACCTCTTTGACAAAAGAATTAATTTTTTTTGCGGCCAAATATTATTAAAATGGAAAATTAATACCTAACCAATTTTCCCAAAGCCCATCAAAGTAATTTGAAATTCTATGGAATAATAACACACCTGGCACCATCTGCTTAGAATGTTAAACCAAAAAACAACACACGTAACGTGACATCATAATAATATAATATGAAAATTTTTCAATC